AAAGTTTTTGCGTCTGGCAGTTGCGCTAATGGTTTACTTGCATCAAACTCGCCACTGCTGGTGTTTGATGACAGTGGTAACAGTTTCAAAAGTGGGGAGAAGACACAAGTGAGGATAATACCAGATCGAGTCAACGGAGAAAGAACCAAGCACTGCCAGATGGGGCTTGTTGTCATTGAGGACAGAGGAAATTGATGTGGAGTAATTTGGACAGATACAACGACTCCAACCTACCGGCCCGCATGGCGTCTCCGGTTGATAAGAACTACTGCTGGTAAGAACTACAGTACTAGTTTGTAGGCACTATCCAGTCGAGATGAATCAAACCATGTTGCAAATCAAATATATCTTTTGTTGGGTCGATTGTCGATGCATCAATTGAGACCCTATTATCACCAATATAATTGTGACCATTGCCGTGTATTTTATACCTCTTCATACATGTCCCAAACTGGAAATTCTAATGTATATCACGTAAAGGTTTAATATCATGCGACATCTTGGTCGATAAAGCTAAACCACATTATGTTAGAAAAAACAAGCTAGTGTGATCAGGTGTGAAAGCACAAATTTGGTAATGTGTTGTGTCATCTTATGTATACACCAACCAATGGTTGCCTTGGAGACAAGGCACAAAGCCCATGCATTAATGTACACTGATGCCATCTATCCAAGCTACAAGGTAAAAACATAGTGCTTGCATTAAGCTATGATTAAAAACATAGTGCTTGCATATGCCCTCCAGCTGGTCGTCGACTTCGCTACATTCACCGTTATTGCTTACAATCTAAAGTTTCCATCAATACCATATCTACTGGTTGGATTGCACTTGTTTAACCATGGTAATAGCTTCAAAAATAGTGCTCTTATGATAGTGCATGTTGTTATGAAAAGTTCACATGTAGTTTCCCTTTCTATTAATGTACCGAGACATAAAGGTCTTGCATGATAAATTTCGCGTGTAATTTTAGTTCTGCGTTTGGATAAAACCCATTGTAATAGAGTAGGAGCTGCTAGATTCTTGCTCATGTTCAGGTTCAAGCCATTTTGTCATGTCAAGTAGTACTAAATATTTTTCAAATCTTACCGGTGGATTTGGTGCAATTTAAATCTCCCGTTTATCAGCTTAAGTACTTGAAGTTGTTCTTAGCATTACTATTTCTTTTTACAATAAATGAAACTAAAATATTGATGTGACTTTTTTTGCTTTCTCCAAATTTGCATTTAATAATTTACTTACATAGTTCTCATCATATTTGCAGGACAAAAAGAAGACACAAGTTCAACACTCATCAAGCCTTACTTGGATGCATCTCAAGTCATGCCACAACTATAAAATGGCAATTGTAATGTGATCATTTGGATTTTGCTTTATGGAGTTGCTTACGATTGTATGCTACAAATTGTTCATGACAACTGTAATTTGATTATGTGGATTTTTCTTTATGGAGATGCTTATGATTGTGTGTTGCAACTTGTTCATGGCGGTTATAATTTGATTATGTAGATTTTGCTTTGTGGGGCTACCTATGATTGTGTGATGCAACCTTTTATGCTAGTTGGATTTTAAAATTTGGAAAGACTATGTTTGTCTCATTCCAAGTTAACCTTGGCCCGGGTTGATGAATTATTGCCAAAATGGTATCCAAACAAAGATGTGCATATCATTTCAATTGATAAATTGTAGTGTCACCCAAACATGATATTTGGATTTGGAATCGAGATTCAACCAAATGAAGTCCCGGCATAAATTACATTTCAACCAAATGAAATGAAATGAGAGGTGCCAAACGAGTTGTGAAGTGTTTTGGAGAGTTTTCTTATGGAAGAAATTGTATTGTGATCTGTATTCAACGAGAATAGGAATTTATCCTCGAATGTAACAGATATCCTGAGGTGACCGAGAAACTCGGTCTCTCATGAGAAATCTCACTCCGCCACTAACCCATCTACCACCGGCACCGTGCTCCCGTCCTTTCCGACAAGATTCCTAGCCACTACCCCCTCATCATCAAACCGCTATTGTGCGAGACCGGCCTCCTGCGTGGGTCTCGGGGTTGCTCAGGGGCAGGAGATCTATGAGGGTGCGGGTGCCATTTTAGTATCCATTACCCGCAAAGACGATGAATCCCAAAGGATCGCCATGCGCGGCACCGACTCCGTTGGGTGACTCCCAAAGGCCATATGTACTTGAGAGCACGCGATGGCGGATAATGCTCTGGTGAAGGCACACCTGAAGCTAGCTCTGCAGATTTTTGGGAGAGCCACGCCCGAGGAGAGATTGAGGTTGGTCCCGGGCTGTTGGATAGATTCATAAGAGATGATTCTGTGGGTGATGTTAGAGGTAAATTTGACAGGCCCAGTGCAACGCCCGCGTTGGGTAGGTCTCAGGGTGAGGAATTCCCCGCATCAAACTATTAGGTCTATGAGATCCTTGGACATGCTAAGGTTGGGCTTCTATTCTCCGTCTTAAAATGGCCGCGCTTGGTCCCTCGGGTGGCACGGCTAAGCGGGGTCACACGGCGACATGAATCCGTCCTCATTGAAAATCGGAGGAGGCGTCCGTCGAACCAATGGTTTCTACGTGTTTTCGCATGTGCCCTTGCGATGAGTCCGGCGTGGCGGGTGCGCCCGGGCGTCCCATAACCGCCCCAATATGGGCAGGGTATGGGAGTGCCAATTCACCCAAGCACTTGGGCCGAATTTGCCAGATCTGATTGTGTTGCTCTTTTCTACCTTTGCCCTGTCATGCAACCTGTTTGGTGCTCCTTCCATCCGAAAAAGCTTGTCTCTTGAATGGATGTATTTAACACCAAGTCAGTGCTAGATATATCCATTTAAGAAACAAGTTTGAGACAAGTTTTTTCGGAGGGGGAGTACGAGGCTATGTTCTCTTCTCTTCTCTGTGTGTCCGTACGATGCCTACGTTTCGATCACTGGCTACTGTTGGACTCCGGCTCTCCAAACATGATGAAACAGAGGGACCCATCACGCTATACATTTCCTGCACGTACGATGGGGGTCAAAGGGTCGTTTTTTCTTAGTTGGTTTTTTTTCTATGAGCAAAGAGGTTTTTCTTTTTTTGCTTTGATCGTAAGAGTTTTTTTTTATTTTCGTAATGTTATAAGCATGGAGAAAAAAAATGCAAAAGTATATACAAAATCTCTCTCTCTCTCTCTCTTTGAGTGCTAGCAGTATTTCCCAGATCGGCTAGTCTGGGCTGGGCTTTCCGGCTCGCGCCGAGTCGCCGCTCGGCTGCTCGGGCGTCGTAATATTAGTCCCACCTTGCTGGTTTGCAAGAAGCTTGACCAGCTTATAAAGCGAGGCGCGGCAACTTGTAGCATGACCTTATTTTAACAGGATCTGTTCTGGTCGCCATCCGACCGCTGTAGATGATGGACTGTGGCTACTGCCTGCCTCCGTACAGGGTGTGAAGAGGTTGTCTGACATTTAACTTTTTTTTGCTGTTTCAACTTCCAACCAAACTCCCGGATTTCTGTTTTTACAAGACGGAGATGATTGGGTTGGGTGATTGTTTCAAACTTTCGATCAGACTTGGGGGTCCCTTTCTGTTGTTTTAATTTTTTGTACTCCCTCCATTTTTGTATACAAGGCCACTATAAAAAACATATTTTGCATTTATACAAGGCCATCAACAGTAACCAAGACAAATATTAGTGATGTTTTCTCGTACTAGTAACCCATGGCTTAATTACTAGCATGCATGTAGTGATGATAATGACACACTCACCCACTTCCTCTCTCACGGCCACTCAGTTTCGTCTAATGTGCACGCACCCTATTAATTAATCCGGTAAACGAGAAGACAAATTGGCTTGTAAAGCATACATTAATTTTTATCTTGATAGCTGTAATTTGAGTTTGTGGCCTTGTATATACAAATGAAGGGAGTAACATTAGACGATTGCTTTGCTTGCCAAAACAAAGGACCAGAAAACTTATCCCTCCAATGCAGGTCAACAGCGGTGATTCAGACCCACAAAACAAACTACTGTCAACTCAAACTCTCATGAACAGGGGACAAATTACACACTGATAGACAATGTTTTTGGAGTCTGCAGGGTGGCCCAGAGGTTGTCAAAAACAAACTACTGTTAACTCAAACACTCATGAACACGGGACAAATTATAGCGATCATTTCATCGAATCAAACACACTGATAGAAAAGCAAGTGGTGACACCAATCTGGCACCGAGCTAATGCATCCTGAACAAGCCATATAGTCCACAATTCACATTGTCGCACAGAGCAATTGGTTGGAAATAAGTTCTTCGGGTACATGCACAAAGCAAAGAGTGATTCACACAATCAGGAGGATTCGAGAATTAAACTATATTCCAAATGAAAATGGTAGCCGAGTGTTACAAACAGCGGCCGTCACAGGACCAAGCCTTCTGAATACTTAAGGGAAACTAAGCGTAATAATTCAAGCTGGATTTCTTCTTTGCTTGCACTTGGATAATGCCTTCGTTGAAATCTTCATGGATCACCTGCATATGCAAACAGCTAGGGCTGAGCGAAACAATACAGTTAAACATGCTTCGTGAGGAAGTGCACTTCAGGCAGTAAATCACATGCTACCAAGCCACAAAAAATGCTTCGAGATATCAAAGAAGCATCTACATATTGTATTTATGTTCCACTATGATTCTCTATTGTGTACTGTATTATATTTCAGGCTGTTCAGTTCATACTGAACATACAGTAGAACTGTCCTAAAAAAAATACCATTGAACTAATGCTGATTTGTTTAAAATTTCATTTTTCTGATCATCAAGATCCTAATCGATTTTATCTGCTGTTATCATCTTCCATTATCTACCATCCATAAAGGAACCAGTGTGGCAAAAGAACAAGAGTCAGCAAAAACCTCTGTAGCATCCCTGCGTAGAGCAAGCATGCCAGCTTTCACACAAACAGCCTTCAGCTGTGCACCGTTGAAATCATCAGTTGAACGAGCCAGCTCCTCAAAGTTGACATCAGGATGTACGTTCATCTTTCTTGAGTCTACAAGATAGAACACAGAACAAACTTATTTTGAGTCCACAAAACCAAAAGGTAAGCAACTTTTTGCAATAGGAGTTGTCAGCCTTTAACAAATTGCAAGAGACATACTTACAAAATCCTAGCTCTTGCTTCTTCTGTCGGATGAGGGAACTCAATCTTGCGGTCCAGGCGACCAGAACGGAGTAAAGCAGGATCGAGAATATCTGCACGATTAGTTGCAGCTATCATCTGCAAGTCACAAAACAACAACGCGTTCAGGAAACAGGATGAATAAAACATCTGATCAGGTATTCATCATCTCTCAAATTATGACCAAGCCAATTTGTGGCTACTCATTAATCAATCAAATAAAAAATATATTTTATCGAATTACTGTTTTCAAAACTAGTTAGGCCAAACCATCAGTACAAAAGAAATTATCTTTACAGGTTGAGCTTGCATGCATTCAGATTATAGAGACAAATATTAGGACATGGTGACCTTTATCCTCTCATCACTGCTAAATCCATCTAGCTGATTCAGCAACTCCAACATGGTTCGTTGCACTTCTCTGTCACCACTAACTTCACTGCAGTCAAATAGAAAAAGAAAAATACAAACAATATCAAATATATACTTCCCGGTAAAAAGATCATATCTAGTTGCAAGTAATCAATATCTTAACCCTGCATTAGTAGGTTAACAACATCATCACATATGATATGCAGCATATGCTGAAAGTAGTTAAGATGTATTTATCTCTGAAGTATAAATCAAACAGTTTCTCTTATTTTACATATGATGACATAGAAGGTTGATGGAGTGTTCAACTTGCAGGGATACCAACTGATTTTCTTCATACAAAGATTATACCACGGTGTTCATCAGACAATTCGCCAAATTAAAAATAAGAGTAACGACATAACGAGACTTCAACCACAATAGGTAAAGAGACACTAAGCATTTACGCTGGACTAGCTAAAAAAATCGCAACGCTTATGGTACAAACGATGCATGCAAAATAAAAAATGCACCTGTCAAAACGCTTTGTTCCAATTGTATCAATCTCATCAATAAAAATGATGCAGGGGGTCTTCTCCTTTGCCAGCTCAAATGCATTTCGGGCGAGCTTTGCCCCGTCACCGATGAACATCTGAAACAATTCACAAAATGTTAATATCTGACTGAAAGATATCCAGAAGAACTAAAAAATGCTGGACCCAGGAATATTACAGATGCAAATGGACATTCTAAGTTTGAACCAGCAATTTTAGATGCAAGTCGATATTTTATGTCTTATCCTGAGCCAATGATGCTAAAGAATCCTTAATCACTATTAACTACAGAGTTATGAGGATTACAATCAAAGTTCATTTGAGTGTGAAGAAAGATACAATCATCTTAACAGAACTGATCATAGTCTGCAAAGCATGCCAAAGCAGTGTTCAATGATTGGTAGAATAAGCAGCTAACCCTCGAATAAGTCAATCAGCATGACATCTAGTTCATTAAAATGAATAATAATATGATATTGCACATTCTGCTTTCAATGACTTTAACATCAAAAGTTAGTTACCTGGACTAGCTGCGGAGCAGCAAGTTTCAGAAAGGTTTCATTGGTTTGTGCAGCACATGCACGAGCCATCAACGTCTTTCCCGTCCCAGGTGGTCCATATAAAAGAACTCCTTTCGGGGGACAGACTCCCACCTTCTGAAATTGCTCCTTGCGTGTCATTGGCAACACTATAGCTTCAACGAGTTCCTAAATCTGCATTAGAAATTAGACAATTACAAAATCAGAACATGAGGGAGCGAATAAAAGCAAACAATTATCAACTAAAGATATTCCGACGTAAGAACTTAACATTATACTGCCTACAGAAAGATAAACTGGCAATCAGCCTATTGTTTTCATCATCTAAAATGTGAAGTAAATACCTCTTTCTCAAGGCCACCAATGTCATTATAATCCTCCTTAGGCTTTTCATCTACCTCCATTGCCTTTACTCGAGAGTCATATCCCAAAGGTAGCGTGTCTAATATCAAGTAGCTGTCCTTGTTGACTCCAACCAAATCACCAGGCTTGAAGTTGTCAGGGTCAACAAGCCCAATCACAAGAAGGAATAAGTCTGCAATCAAGAACAGAAAAGGAACGGAGAAGCCTTGAGCAGCAAGTCCAACTCTTTACAGCACATAAATAAATTGATTCTCTAGAACAGCAAAGATTGCCCAACTAATGAGATCCATCAAATGGTATGTGGAAATAAACCATGTCAAGTTCCAAACATCCAAATTAAAATAGTCCACATAGGCTCATAAATGAAAGGGTTGTTATGGATACAGATAAATTAACCAAGTAAAATGCTGTACGCAGGTGCCAGGCAGGGATAGGAATATTGATGCTGCAAGGTACTAGAATTTGATGTCTGACATAATAAATTCAGCTACTTGTGATTGATGTATCATGGTATCAACTCCCAGGAGAACTTACACGGTTAACAAGCCAACCTCAGGTGAAATATAAAATGATGGTGTTTATAGCCTATAGGAGAGTTCTCAAAATTAAAATCTACTTAAGAATTTTACTGTGTGTTTAGCAACTAATGGAAAAGTTCCATGGTGTCAAAGATTACAACACCTGCTCTCGTACAAAGTTACCTAACTAGGACCCTGAGACTTGATGATTGTACCAAACCTACAACACTGGCACATCCCTAACTTGTGTTGTACTCATTGGCTCTCCAAAATATAGGCAGAAACACTAAAATCGGAGACAACCTGAACACACACACCTAATCAACCATGGAGCATCTTTCCTCTCTTAGTACTTGTTTCTATGGCACCAACCACCGGCATGCCTGGGCTACATCCACGACAGTTCATGCATATACAGTTGGAGTAGATGTAGTAACGGATACTAGAGATGTAAGCACCACAGCAAGTTCGAGCAAGTTTATTTATCTGTCTTGTGGATGTCTTAAGAACAACACATTTTCCTTTCCTTTGTGAGTCCAGATCTATATTAGCACCATCCTCTTCAGGTTCATTTCCAAAATCTGAAACAGTTGATAAATTACGTTAGTAGATTTCCAAGTACAAATGCATCTGAAGTCAAGATATTTATCAGCAACCTGGCAAACTATAACCTTGAAAATATCAGTTCTGAGTTTAAGGAAAAGACAAAATGAGTGCAGCAGTTTATCCTTGCCAGATAAGTTATCAGAAGCTTATGAACAACAGCACTAATACACACCAACTGATTCCAGACTCCAGAGAGCTACCACATAGCAAGCAATACAGTTGCAATTGATTTAGTACCTCCTAGATAATTACAAGGTTCATCACAAGAGGGAAATTGGCGCGTAACTATGTGTTTCTGTGACGTCAAACATTTCCAGGAACTAAACTAGGGCGCACAGTCACTGACCCCTCATCAATCAGCATGAAGTGAAGCTCAACTACTCTGGGCTACTAATCTGGTTTGCACGAACTAATACTGGATCGGGGAATCGTGAATCCGGCATGAATGAACTCGGTACAGAAACCCATAATTTCCGCATCCGCGTCCAGATCGGGGAAATTCCCGGGGCAGGTGAGGCACGAAGACGATGTTGCCGACGAGGTAGGGCAGCTGCTTGTTGAGCTTGATCTTCTCCTGGTTCTCCTTGATCTTGTCCTTGACATTCTCGAGCTCCAGGTTGTTCCGCTGGAGCTCGTCCTGCACCCCCGCGAACAGACAAACCAGATCAGGCGACCCCGGACCGACGGGACGCGATAGCGGCTGCTAGGGTTCGGGGGAGGGGGGTCGTACGCGTACCTTGAGGACGCAGACCTCGTTGTCGACGAGGTGGGTGGCCCGGACAATGTCCTCCGTGGACATGGAGTCGAGCTGGTCGGTCTCCGACGAGTCGTCGACGGCCATCGCGGCGGCGCCGGCGTCCGTCGCGGGGGTGGGGGAGGACGACATGACGCTCTTCTGCGGCCTTGGGCCTCTCCGCGGGAAAATGCAGCCCAGCTCGATGTTTTGGGTCCGGGCCCGGTGCGGTGGTTATTTTGTAGTACTATATATCCTAACCACCTCCTAACCTTTTTGTAATCGACAATGCTCTGCCGCCCGATTTTTTCTCCTCCTGCAGTGATTCTTCATCCACGATTGCCTCTGCCTCGCTCGCTCCTCCTGTCCTGAGCCCCATCTGAACCCCGCCTCAGTCGCCGGAGCCCGCCGGTGAACAGCGCCTCCGCCGCTTGTCCCTCCCCTTCCTCTTCCCACATCCCACACGTCTCTCTCACCTCTCACAGCAATGGCAGCATGAGAGGAAGATCCAGTTCAGTCATCGTCGGCCATGGAGCCGAGCTCGACCAAAACCGCCGCCGCTGCCGGAGCTGCCCGCCATCGGATCTGCGCCGCCCTTCTTCGGATCAATCCATCCCCGTTGTTGTCAGCCCCGTATGTCGCTTCGCTTGCCTCCGGCGTTGCCACAGAGGAACAGCACCTCCTCCCGTCAGCCCGTGTCCTCGATGGAAGAGATATGCATCTCTCGCAGGTTCACTCGTGTCGGCCATTGGTAGCACCCTGATACCTTCGTCTAGCGGCGGCTACTACTCATATATTGTCGTCAGTTCGTCAAGTAGGAGGACGAGAACCACTATTTGGCCTTTCCTGATGCAGTTGGCTGATGCTCTGACCCCTATGACCACAACACGCAGCCATCCAGTGCTTCAGGTTGCTCGAGACGTATGTGTGCTGCCATGCTCGTGGTCTCTATTAGCAAATGGCACCTAGGGTTGTTGCCTGTATGGTTGTGCTGCATCTTCACCCATCAAGAAAAAGATGTTGCAAACATAGTCTGATAACTTCTATGAAAATAACATGATTACTCACACATCGTAAACATGATATATTATGTACCAGTCCTGATAACTTTGTCGAAGGGGCCGGAGTGTGGGAGTCGTTGAAACATACCACGATAACTTCTATGCAAATAATATGATAACTCACACTTCAT